CAGGGTGGACTCGATCTCCTGACCTTGTGATCCGCCCACCTGGGCCTCCCAAAGTGCTGGGATTACAGGCTTGAGCCACCGCACCCGGCCAGTTTTTCTTCTTGAACAGGTCTCATGTTGATAAAATCCCTCAGCTTTTATTTTTCTGGGAAGATCTTTATTTGTCCTTCATGTTTGACGGATAATTTCACTAGATATACATGCTATTCTAGGATAAAAGTTTTTAACTTCGGCACTTTAAATATGTCATGCCATTCTCCTGGCCTGTAAGGTTTCCACTGAAAAGTCTGCTGCTAGATGTGTTGGAGCTCCATTGTTGTTTCTTTTCTCTTGATGCTTTCAGGATCCTTTCTTTTTTTTTTTTTTTTTTTTTTTTTTTGAGACGGAGTCTCGCTGTATCGCCCAGGCTGGAGTGCAGTGGCCGGATCTCAGCTCACTGCAAGCTCCGCCTCCCGGGTTTTTACGCCATTCTCCTGCCTCAGCCTCCCGAGTAGCCGGGACTACAGGCGCCCGCCACCTCGCCCGGCTAGTTTTTTGTATTTTTTAGTAGAGACAGGGTTTCACCGTGTTAGCCAGGATGGTCTCGAACTCCTGACCTCGTGATCCGCCCGTCTCGGCCTCCCAAAGTGCTGGGATTACAGGTTTGAGCCACCGCGCCAGGCCCAGGTAGGATCCTTTCTTTATCCTTGACCTTTGGGAGTTTGATTATTAAATATCTTGAAGTAGTCTTATTTGGGCTAAATTTGCTCTGTATTCTGTAACCTTCTTGTATTTGAATATTGATATCTTTCCCTGGGTTTGGGATGTTCACTGTTATTATCCCTTTGAACAAACTTTCTATCCCATTTTTTTCTCTACCTCTTTAAGGCCAGTAACTCTTAGATTTGCCCTTTTGAGGCAATTCTCTAGATCTTGTAGGAGTGCTTCCTTCTTTCTTAATTGTTTTTTCTTTTGTCTCCTCTGATTGTGTACTTTAAAATAGCCTGTCTTTAAGCTCGCTAATCGATTCTTTTTCTTGATCAGTTCCACAGTTGACGGCCACTGATGCGTTATTCTTCAGTATGTCAGTTGCATTTTTCAACTCTAGAATTTCTGCTTGATTCTTTTTATTTTACTCTCTGTTAAATTTATCTGATAGAATTCTGAATACCTTCTCTGTGTTATCTTGAATTTCTTTTTCCTCAAAACAGCTATTTTGAATTCTCTGTCTGTCTGAAAGGTCATATATCTCTGTCTCTCCATGATTGGTCACTGGTGCCTTATTTAGTTTGTTTGGTGAGGTCATGTTTTCCTGGGTGGTTTTGATGGTTGTGGATGTTCACCGGTGTCTGGGCATTGAAGAGTTAGGTATTTATTGTAGTCTTCACAGTCTGGTTTTATTTGTACTCATCCTTCTTAGGAAGGCTTTCTAGGTATTCGGAGGGACTTGGGTGTTGTGATCTAAGTTTTTGGTCATTGCAGCTGTATCTGCATTAGTGGGCACCCCAAGCCCAATAGCACTGTGTCTCTTGGATAAGATTCAGAAGAATCCTCTGGATTATCAGGCAGAGACTCTCGTTCTCTTTCCTCACTTTTTCCCAAACAGGAGTCTTTCTGTGCTGATCTCTCTGGAGCTGGGGGAGGGGTGGCACCAGCACCTTTGTGGCCACCACCACTGGGACTGCACTGGGTCAGACCTGAAGCCAGCACAGCACTGGGTCTCACCTGAGGCTCATGGTAACCACTACCCGGCTACTGCCTTTGTTTGCTTAAGGCCCTAGGACTCTGCAGTCAGCAGGTGGTGAAGCTAGCCGAGCTTGTGTTCTTCTCTTCAGTGCAGAGTTTCCCTCAGTGCCAGTTGGGTCCAGAAATGCTGTCTGAGAGCCAGGGCTTGGAGTCAGAAACCTTAAGGAAGCTACTTGGTACTCTGTTCTACTGTGGCCGTGCTGGCATCCAAGCCACAAGGCGAAGTTATTCCCACTCTACAGTCCCCATCCATAGAATGATTAAGTGGGGACCTGTCAAAGGAGAATCCTCAAATGTCAGCATATATTGTTTTTTTATCCTTTGGGTTTTCAAGAAAGGTTGTAACCCTGGGTGTCTGTGTTTTTGTAGTATTCTGGATCCTGGAAAGGGAAGCTAGAATTTTCCTTGTTGACAGTACAGATCTTCATTTGATCCCTTTATTTTCAGTGGGGCACCCTGACTATCAGCTGTCTCAGATTCCAGACCCTCTGGTTCAGGCTCTCCAAAAAGGCAAAGGATTTTCCACCAAGCATCCTAGTTTCAACCCCACTCTAATACCTCTGCCTTTTAGAGTCTTTATGTTTACCCGTTGAGCTAACTGGGCTACCTCTGATGTTGCGGGTATTGCTACTTGCAATTCCTGAGCCTGTAGCACAAATTAGCTATAAGTTACTATTTCAATTTTTTCTGCTTTACCAATTCAGTTACCAGCCATTTGTCTACTTTTCTTTTTTTTTTTTTTTTTTGAGACAGAGTTTTGCTCTATCTCCCAGGCTGGAGCGCAGTGGCCGGATCTCAGCTCACTGCAAGCCCCATCTCCCGGGTTCAGGCCATTCTCCTGCCTCAGCCTCCCGAGTAGCTGGGACTACAGGCGCCTGCCACCTCGCCCGGCTAGTTTTTTTGTATTTTTTAGTAGAGACAGTTTCATCATGTTAGCCAGGATGGTCTCGATCTCCTGACCTCGTGATCCGCCCATCTCGGCCTCCCAAAGTACTGGGATTACAGGCTTGAGCCACCGTGCCCGGCCTTTGTCTACTTTTCATATTTTGAAATGTTATTAACATTTCTTTATTGCTCTTACCTCCCTTATTCTCTTTTTTCCTTTGGACTTATACCATTTTTCTTTCTGTATTCTCTTTTACAGGGTTTTAGGAGGGAGAGAGATTTAGCACATTAATCAGTCTGCTCCGTTTAATAACTTTCTAAACTTAAGCAGAATTAAGACATAACAGCAGAGAAAGATTAATTTGACCACTGAAAACTGTTAAATTTATGCATAGCAGAAAACATAAAATTGAAAAGCATGTAACAGGCCGGGCTGTATGTAACAAATATGACACAGAGTAATGCTCCTAATGTATGAAGAATTCAAATACAAATACATAAGAAAAATACTATCCCCCAAAAGATAAGTGGGCCCAGTACCTGAAGAGATATTTCATGAGCACATACATATCTCTGATTTTCAGTATCACAAATAGTCAGAAATGTGTACTAAAGCAAGTTGTCATTTTAAACTCAAAAATGCATTTGTGTGTGCGTAGAGTATATATACAGATGAAAATGTGAAGAGTGGAGCATTTTCCTGGACTGCAAATGGCAGTTTAAACTGGAACAGGAACCGGGCATGGTGTCTCACACCTGTAATCTCAGCACTTTGAGAGGCCGAGATGGGCGGATCACCTGAGGTCAGGGGTTCGAGACCAATCTGACCAACATGGAGAAACCCCGTCTGTACTGAAAATACAAAATTAGCCGGGCGTGGTGGCTCATGCCTGTAATCCCAGCTACTCGGGAGGCTGAGCCAGGAGAATCACTTGAACCCAGGAGGCGGAGGTTGCTGTGAGCCAAGATTGCATCATTGCACTCTAGCCTGGGCAACAAGAGTGAAACTCCGTCTCAAATAAGTAAATAAACAAACAAACAAACAAACTGGAACAGTTGTAGAGGAAAACAGATTAGCAATATGCTTGACTATCCTTTGACTTACGGATTTTTCCTTAGGAAGTAGAATTTCTCCTAGGGAAATATTTCAAACTATGGACCAAAATAGGCAAAAAGATGCCCATCTTATTTTTAATATTACTAGATAGGTAGAATAACTGACATTTATTGAACCTTTAGTGTGTGTTTCAAGAACTGTGCTAAAAGTGTTTAACATGTATCATCCCATGTAATCCTCACAACAACCATATGAGATAAATGCTATATTTACCTTCTTTGAAAACACAGAGGCTAGACTGCCAAACCAGGCTGGAGCCCAGGTCTAATTTAAAACATTTATTCTTTAACCGTCATGCTCACAATTTTCTGTAAATACATATTACTTTTATAAAGATGAGGGAAAAAAATAAACATTTTCAGTGTGTCAGTAGTGTATGTTTCAGTTATCTAAACATCCAACTAGACTAAAACAGCTAAATTTAGCAACTCATTGTACTTTTATGATACAATATGCAGCCATTAAAAAGTCATATTTTAGCCGGGCACAGTGACTCATGCCTGTAATCCTTGCACTTTGGGAGGCTGAGGTGAGCAGCTCACCTGAGGTCAGGTGTTCGAGACTAGCCTGACCAATATGGTGAAACCCCATCTCTACTAAAAATACAAAAATTAGCCTGGCTGTGGTGGTGCTTGCCTGTAATCGTAGCTACTCAGGAGGCTGAGGCAGGAGAATCATTTGAACCCGGGAGGCGTACCTTGCAGTGAACAGAGATCGCACCACTGCACTCCATCCTGGGTAACAGAGGGAGATCTTGTCTCAAAAAACAAACAAACAAATTGAAATATTTTTCTGAGCTTATTGTAGGTGGAAATATACAAAAAAAATTTTAATCATTATTCCTGAGTGATTGGTTTACAGGTGTTTATTCATTTTCTTTTCTATGTTTTTTCTTTGTTTTCCAAATTTTGAATGTGTATTACTTTTGAAATCAGAAAAAAAGTTATAGTAATTATTTCACCTATTAACTTAATGTCGAATGACGTGAATATGCTTATATGTCTGGAAAAAAACAGTTGTAAAGTCATATGTATAGTACGATTTCAGCTAGATATTATTTTTTTTTAAGCCTGAGAAAATACCCTACATGGAAATGTACAAAAATACTAACAGTGATGTTATCCCAGGGAGAGAGTAATGAGGATGAACTTTTATTATGTATTACTTTTTTCTCTATCTTCAAAATTGTACAATATGAGCATATTTATGTAATCATAGAAAATTTAATATTTTAACTTGGAGGACATGTCTTTACTTTTTCTTATATTTTTAGACGTTTGAAGACAGTGATTTGTTCCATTTGATTGGTGTTATCTGTGGCTTAGCAATTTATAATTTTACTATTGTGGACCTCCATTTTCCTTTGGCTTTATATAAGAAACTACTGAAAAAGAAGCCATCCTTGGATGATTTGAAAGAACTAATGCCTGATGTTGGGAGGTTAGTTGGAAAAAAAAGTCAAAAGGTAGTAGGGTTTGGGAGGTAAGAAGTGGGGAATGTACAGAAAACTTTCCTTCTGTGAATAAATATATTTTGTTCTTCTTGTTAAATTTCTGAAATAAACAAATGCTCTTCTCTAATAAAGGAAAATCCATTATGTTACTCAGATCAAAATTTTCTATTGAAAGACGAAATTTGGCTGGCGCAGTGGCTCACACCTGTAATCCTAGCACTTTGGGAGGCTGAGGCAGGTGGTTCACCTAAGGTCAAGAGTTTGAGACCAGCGTGGAGGTCAGGAGTTCTAGACCAGCATGACCAACATGGTGAAACCCCATCTCTACTAAAATACAAAAATTAGCCAGGTGTGGTGGCCCACGCCTGTAGTCCTACCTACTCAGGAAGCTGAGGCAGGAGAATCACTTGAACCCAGGAGGCAGAGGTTGCAGTGAGCTGAGATTGTACCATTGCACTCCAGCCTGGGTGGCAGAGCAAGCCTCCGTCTCAACAAAAAAAGACAGACTAAATTTTTAGTTGTTAGACAATACCTTGCAATTATCAGATCATCACCTTAGGAAAGTAAATTTTTTCTGAGAATGATTAATTGATTTATTTGGACTTTTACTTCTGATAACCTTCATTCCTAGTTTGAATATGTGCAATTTATTTTTATTTATTAAATAAAATGGATTAAAGATTTTATATAAATAAGGACAAATGGGCCAGGTGTGGTGGCTTATGCTTGTAATCCTAGCACTTCGGGAGGCTGAGGTGGGCAGATCACAAGGTCAGGAGTTCGAGACCGGCCCGGCCAACATGGTGAAACCCGGTCTCTACTAAAAATACAAAAATTAGCTGGGCATGGTGGTGGGCACCTGTAATCCTAGCTGCTCTGGAGGCTGAGGCAAGAGAATTGCTTAAAAACCTGGGGGGCGGAGGTTGCAGTGAGCCAAGATTGCGCCACTGCACTCCAGCCTGGGCAACAGAGAAGACTCCATCTCGGGTAAAATAAAATAAAATAAAATAAGGAAAAATGTTAAAAATAGGTGAATACATGGCCTTTGTATTCAGAAAAGTGATAAGAACCTTTGACTGATTTTTTTCCTTCAGCATCATTTATAAGTTTGCCATTGTGTAGTCATTATTCTGCAACAAATATAAAATTACAAATTGACAAAAGGATTTTACCAAGAGGGAATGAGAAGTGTGTGTGTATATATATGTATATATCCGTAAGTAAAACAGTCAAAATATCCAATAATGTTTTTCCTCTCAGAAACATATATGTTATTTTGCAGAAGCATGCAACAGTTACTGGATTATCCAGAAGATGACATAGAGGAAACATTTTGTCTTAATTTTACGGTAAGATGCAAAGACGTAGGTTAGCCTGATTATTCATCATCCCTTTTATGTAAGCTATATCTTATGGTTCTTTATTTTGATGGATGGAATTCTTAACGAATCCTTTAGCTAACATTTATTGAGCATTTACTATGTGCTAACTAGTCATAGTACATGCATTTCATTTAATCCTCAACAATCCAGTGAAGTTAGGATTATCCCTGTTTTACAGATGAAGAAAACTGAAAACAGTCATTACCTTGGGAGTCAGTATACATACCAGCCTCTGTGACTTAAACCTGTGTACTTTATCGTTATGCTAAATATATTTACAAATACAAGACGTCCTCTTTACCCAAGTGTTCATTTTTTAGTCTGCAATTACAGAAATGCTTTAGAGAAGCAAAAGGTTATTGTAATGTGAGAATATTACTACTAAACTTAAAAGCATTAATTTCCACTGGTACATTCCTTTCTATTTCACACTAACATTCATCCTTGCCTATCTTGTCTTACTCACTGTTGGATGACATAGATAAAACAAATGCAAATGCATTGCAATATCATTTGGAAAATGAAATTGCAAATCTTGTAAAAGATGCACAATTTCATTAAGGCAGTGAAAGGGATGTGGTTTTTTGTCTTTTGTTTTTTGAGACATAGTCTTGCTGTGTCACCCAGGCTGGAGTACAGTGGCACGATCTTGGCTCACTGCAACCTTTCCTCCCAGGTTCAAGCGATTCTCCTGCCTCAGCCTCCTGAGTAGCTGGGATTACGTGCCCGCCACCACGCCCAGCTAATTTTGTGTTTTTAGTACAGATAGGGTTTCACCACCTCGGCCAGGCTGGTCTCGAACTCCTGACCTTGTGATCCACCCGCCTTGGCCTCCCAAAGTGCTGGGATTACAGGTGTGAGCCACTGCACCTGGCTGAAAGGGATGTTAAATAACTGATCCAGTCACAGGCAAAGCCATTTATAGATGAGGATATGGCAGAAGTAGACTAGTTGGCAATTAAATAAGAGAAAATTCGTAAGGATTATGATAAGGCACTCCAGAAGGGAACAATTTGAATATTATAAATTAGACTCTTGGAAAAATTGTAAAACCTTCAGTTTTTCTTTTTCTTTTTCTTTTTCTTTTTCTTTTTTTTTTTTTTTTTGAGACAAAGTCTTGCTCTGCCCAGGCTGAAATGCAGCAGTATGATCTCAGCTCATTGCAACCTCCGCCTCCCAGGTTCAAGCAATTCTCCTGCCTCAGCCTGCTGAGTAGCTGGGACTACAGGTGTGCACCACCATGCCCAGCTAATTTTTGTATTTTTAGTAGAGACGGGATTTCACCATGTTGGCCAGGATGGTCTCAATCTCTTGACCTTGTGATCTGCCCCCGTTGGCCTTCCAAAGTGCTGGGATTACAGGCGTGAGCCACAGCACCTGGCCTCTTTTTATTTAAAAAGTTTTTTATTTGTATATTTGTTTGCCACCCTGCCACATACACAACAGTTATCTTTATGGTTTTGTCAAAGCTGACAAAAGATGCCATATTCTGCTGTCATGAAATTTGCCCAAAAAAAATTGCACGTTCATATTCTTTTCAAGAAAATCTTGAGACTATTTTCTGGCCAGGCATGGTGGCTCACGTCTGTAATCCCAGCACTTTGGGAGGCCGAGGCGGGCAGATCACTTGAGGTCAGGAGCTAGAGACGAGCCTGGCCAACATGGTGAAACCCCGTCTCGACTAAAAATGAAAAAATGAGCCAGGCGTGATGGCACGTGCCTGTAATCCCAGCTACTCGGGAGGCTGAGGCAGGAGAATTGCTTAAACCTGAGAGGCGGAGGTTGCAGTGAGCTGAGATTGCGCCATTGCACTGCAGTCTGGGTGACAGAGTGAGACTCCGTCTCAAAAAAAAAAAAAGTTGCTCTCCGCAAATCCAGACAACAACAGAAAAGCATTTTCCAAAGTGTGTTCCTGTTAGAATAAGGTGACCATAAAATTTTTTAAAAAAGCTATTTTCTATGAAATTTTGGTTCTCTTTTTCATTTGATTCACTCATACCCATGTTAGTTTCTTGAATTTTTATTCATCATCTCATTTGACTAAAAAATTGAGTTTCAAGCTGTTTAATTTCTAATTTATCAGTCACCAAATTTATGAACTCTTTTTTTTTTTTTTTTTTTTTTTTGAGACGGAGTCTCGCTCTGTCGCCCAGGCTGGAGTGCAGTGGCGCAATCTCGGCTCACTGCAAGCTCCGCCTCCCGGGTTCACACCATTCTCCTACCTCAGCCTCCCGAGTAGCTGGGACTACAGGCGCCCGCCACTGCGCCCGGCTAATTTTTTTTTCTATTTTTTAGTAGAGACGGGGTTTCACCATGGTCTCGATCTCCTGACCTTGTGATCCGCCCGCCTCGGCCTCCCAAAGTGCTGGGATTACAGGCGTGAGCCACCGCGCCCGGCCTATGAACTCTTACTGTATTCAAAGAACTATGGTAATTCAAACATTTCTTCCCACTGCCATTTCTTTCTCAGAAATTTTTCAGTGGCTTTTTATTGCTTGTAGAATAATAGCTTTAGAATGGGTGTCAAAGACATTTATAACCTGGCTGTCTTCCTTTCATTGTATCCCTCCCTTCATACCAAGTTTTGTCATATCACACAGTATTTTTTTTAATATACCTTACCTTCCTCTTTTTCAGAGTCACTTGCCATTTTCAGAAACTTGATATTGTGAATATCTAATTTTTTTGTTCAATTGATATTGTCTGTCTGAAATCTCACTCTCTTAATCTTTCAAAATACTACCCATACTTGTAGGTGCTTTTCAGATGGCATTTCTTCCTCAAGGTCTTTCACACGTCCTGTAGTTTAGAATTCCGTTTGCATTCCTCTATGATCTGATAACATTTTGTTCATATGTCTCTTATAAATGCATTATTTTATTATAATTGGTTCTTTATATGTTACATTTCTCTTCCTTTACTATATAGTAAACTTCACAGCAGGAGTATATTCATCTAACATCCCACTCCCATCATAGTGTTTTATAAATAGCAAGTTTTCATAAAAGAGGATAATATTCCAAAAAGAAGGAATAGCAAAAGAAAAGATGCAGAAGTGGTCATGGTAATATTTTTAGAAAAATTCCAGAAGTAAAAGAAATAAAAGGTTTCAAAATACTTGACTATTTTTATAAACCAAATTAGTACATAACTGGAAACACTGCCTGTGATCAAGTTTACAACAAGGGTGGTAGAGGAACCCTGGAGTAGCAGTTGTCATGTGGGAAGAATGCGTGGTTTTCTAAGCTGAATGCATTCTCATACTTGGATTTTTATCACTCGTCTAAGGAAAACATCCTAATATTTTATAGTAACCATTCTAAAGTTGTATGCACAACAAATGCTTAGTTTCCTTATTAACTTACCAAACACTTGGTAATTTGTAATTAATCATGGTAGGATTTCAAACTAGAGAGGATCAAAATTTCTAGTTCTGGCTTTAAGCAGAATTCTCAGATAAGCTATATGGTAGCAGAATTTTATCTCAAATTTAGTAGTTTTTTTTATTATTAAATGAGAGGTAGATATAATAATAGATTATTAGAATACTCTAAGTTTTGAGTCTGACATTGACTTTTTTTAAAAATTTAAATTAATAGATCACAGTTGAAAACTTTGGTGCAACAGAAGTCAAAGAGCTGGTTCTAAATGGTGCAGACACAGCTGTTAACAAACAAAATCGGTAAGTGAATTTTAGCAGCAACAGTGGGAATAATAAGATTCAGTAGACATTTTCTTCTGTGTGTAGAAAACGTGTCACAACGCTAAGTTTTTACTCCAATAAAACTTTAATTTTGAGTGGTTAGTGAGGAAATAATCTGCCTTTTCCTCCTGAAATCCCTTGAAGACATTAAACAAAACAATGAGAAGGGAGAAGTGACAGCAGCAAACATTTTTGGAAGCCAGGAAACAGTAGTAACTAACTTTAGCAAACCAGAGAAAGCTGCAACATGAGATGGAAAAGAGGAGCCACGAAGCCAGCTGGATCACTTCAAAAAACGAAAGTTTGTGTGCTGAGAACAAAACATACCTTTAGAAAATGTGTGGTGTTTGGGGAAACAACTCTTGTAAGAAGCAGTTAGAAACTAGTTTCCCATGCTAACATTGGGTTTAAAACAACAACAAAAGAAACTAGTTTCCCTTAGCACACCAGGAAGCCGGCAACTGCCCCTCTCCGGCCTGGGCAGGAAATTGGAAATTTACCTTCTGAAGAAATTGGACTGTGGATTTGAGGACACCTAGAAACTGCCACAGGCAAGGAGCTGAACTGAAAACAGGGAGATTAAGTGCTGAAAGTCTATCGCTGCCTCCTCCTTGGTACCATATAGTGGTAGATCCTTTTCTGGGGAAACTGCCTAACATTTAAAATGTAAATCCATAGGCCGGGCACAGTGACTCAACGCCTGCAATCACAGCAGTTTGGGAGGCTGAGGCGGACGGATCATGAGGTCACGACAATGATACCATCCTGGCTAACGCAGTGAAACCCCATCTCTACTAAAAATACAAAAAATTAGCTGGCCGTGGTGGCATGTGCCTGTAGGTCCAGCTACTTGGGAGGCTGAGGCAGAAGAACTGCTTGAACCCAGTGAGCTGAGATCGTGCCACTGTGCTCCATTCTGGGCAACAGAGCGAGGCTCCGTCTCAAAAAAAAAAAAAAAAAAAAAAGTTAATCGATAGCCAAAGGTCAACAGACATTTAAGGAAAGACCGAAACAGTCAAAAAGAATGGCAGGAAACCAGGAACCCTGCAGGTTGAAGGACAGAAGTTCAGAGGAAACTGAAATCAGTATCCTCAGAATGATGCGTGACATCCAGATGGATACAATTAAAAATGGAAAAAAAATTCATTTGAAAGAAATGGAATTAATGAAATCTGTCAAAGAAGATATTTTTTAAAAAATAAATAAACTTCCCAGAAATGAATGACATCCTTTCAAGATTGAAAACATGAGAAGTGGGAAAAAGATCAATACCAAGACAAGATGAGAAGATACATGAAATTTCAAAATTTTCAAAGTCAAAGGGATCCTAAAACTGTCCAGAAAACCCACAGACCTAAGAATTAGTAACATCAGACACTGGAATCAAAGAACACTAGAAGCTAGAAGACCAAAATTTTAGGAAAAAATTACTTTTAACTTAGAATTTTGTATCCAAATTATCAAGTGTGTGAGTGTTTAAAAACATTTTCATACATGCACAGTCTCAGAGAATTTACTTCTGAAGCCTTTTTCTCAGGAAATTACTGGACGATGTGTTCTATCTACCAAAACAAGGAATTAAACCAAGAAAGAGGAAGACACAGGATTAAAAAAGCAACAACAAACTACCAAGATTCACCCAAGCAAGGATTCTTTTTGAAGGATCAATAACTGTGTCGATTTAGAAAGCTAACAACCTGGGTTAGATCAAGAGGATGGAGGGCTCGAGTAGAGAAATGCAACTGATAGTACCTAATTTTTGAATGAATCTAGAGGAAATGGATATTTCTTTTGGAGAAGTTGGGGATGAATTAGCAAACTAAGGAAAATAGAAGTCCTTTTTAAGGGAAAAAGGGTAACCATAGAATACAGCTTAACTGTGAATAATATAGAAATGTTAACAAATATTGAACCAAAAATTGTTATATAAATACAATAGATGTGCAGGGGAGTAGAAAGTGAATGGGACAATTACATTAAAGATAAATCCAAACCACCACATTGAAATTTAAGGAATAACAGTAGAACTGTGTTGTTAGAAGCTTGAATGTGAATATCAGAAGGAATAGCAAAAAGAATTAACAAATAGTTGCCTTTGAATAGTGGGAATTTCTGGCAGAGAAGTGTTGGACAGAGAGTTTCTTTATTCTCTTCTATTTTGTTACAATTCTTTAATAAATGCCTGTTGCCAGGGAACTGGTCCAAAGGATTATAATCCTAATTCTGCTACTTAGAAGCTTTATAACTTTAAATAAATTAGTTGATGTCTCAATGCCTTAGTGTCCTTCTCTGTTAAATGGAATGACAAATTGTACCTATTTCATGGGATGATTTTGAGGACTAGATGAGACAATATTTTAAGATACTTAGAATAAGACCTAGCACATGTAGTGCTCAGTAAATGTTGGCTGTTAGGATTGTTACTATTTGATGTTTTAAACTCTTGATATGTCTTACTTTGATAAAAATAAAGCTGTTTTTAAAATGATGTGAAAAAATTTTAGGTCCTAGATATCCTTGTTTTGAAAGAAAATTTGGTTTTGAAAGGCAGTTTACCATTATTCCTATTGCAGAATCATCCTTTATTACTTGGAAGACGAAGATATAAAATAGTGAAATCTTCTAGTACCCATTCTCATTATTTGTTTGACCAGATAGCATCATAAAATGTTGTGGCTAGCAAAACAAAACACATTGAATAAGATTGTGGTTCAAATTCAGGGGTTAAAGGGGCTTCCTTTTTTTCTTTACAGTTTCCTTTTGTATCATAAGAGGTAGAAGAGAATCAGAAGTGATTGTGTATGTATTCACATATACATTTGAAAAGAAACTACACTTGTACTCTTTAATGATTATCCGAAAAGAATGCTTAGTATCCTCTCTCAGGCCTTTGTTGAAGTAAATGTTGTTAAGATTCCTTGGAACCTGGCCGGGCGCGGTGGCTCAAGCCTGTAATCCCAGCACTTTGGGAGGCCGAGACGGGCGGATCACGAGGTCAAGAGATCGAGACCATCCTGGTTAACACGGTGAAACCCCGTCTCTACTAAAAAAATACAAAAAACTAGCCGGGCGAGGTGGCGGGCACCTGTAGTCCCAGCTACTCGGGAGGCTGAGGCCGGAGAATGGCGTGAACCCGGGAGGCGGAGCTTGCAGTGAGCTGAGATCCGGCCACTGCACTCCAGCCTGGGTGACAGAGCTACACTCCGCCTCAAAAAAAAAAAAAAAAAAAAAGATTCCTTGGAACCCAAGGAAAAGAAGGCTATAGTTTGTCAAATGATCTGAATCCCAAAGCTCTTATTTTTTCGTCACCTGTTGTTTGTAACAGATCATTCCTTTTAGGGATGCATGTGACTTGATATATATAAATTCTCAATAACTTGTAAATATTTTTAAATTATTTTCATAGCCATTCACATTATTCTGCCCATTAGGAAATGACATTTTTTCCAATAGGAATAGCCTAAGAATAACTGAATGCCTTGTGGATATAGCTGATTTTTATATGGAAAGAATAATAGCTTTTTTCATAATGACTTTGGTTTTGTCCTGTTTGAACCCTACTCATACATTCTCAGTTTCGTATATATGTAGCAGAAATTGTAGGAGCACTTGAAGTTTTAATGACTACATTATGGATTCTTCATAAATGATTTTTATAATCTGTACACGTGTGCTTTTTCATTTCTAGACAAGAGTTTGTTGATGCTTATGTGGATTACATATTCAATAAATCAGTGGCTTCCTTATTTGATGCTTTTCATGCGGGCTTTCATAAGGTCTGTGGAGGAAAAGTCCTTCTGCTCTTTCAGCCTAATGAACTACAAGCAATGGTCATTGGAAATACAAATTATGATTGGAAGGAACTGGAAAAGGTAGGGGAAAACTAATCTCTGATATTGTTTAAATGGAAAGGCTCATATGTGGAAATCTTGCCTTTTTATGTATTATTTTTTGTTTTATACACTTTATTACTACCATTTTACAGGAAAGCACTCTACCCTTCTTGGCCCACAATGAATGGATTTTTGAACTGTGTATGAATTAGACACTACTATAATTGGTGGTATTCATATAGAAAACTCATCTGGCCAGGCACAGTGGCTCTCACCTATAATCCCAGCACTTTGGGGCGCTTAGGGCGGGAGGATCACTTGAGGCCAGGAGTTCAACAGCAGCCTGGGGAACATAGCGAGACTTCATCTCTAAAAATAACTTAGGCCAGGCGCGGTGGCTTACATCTGTAACCCCAGGACTTTGGGAGGCCAAAGTGGGTGGATCACCTGAGGTCAGGAGTTCAAGACCCGCCTGGCCTACATGGTGAAACCCTGTCTCTACTAAAAATACAAAAATTAGCTGGGCATGGTGGCATGTGCCTGTAATCCCAGCTACTCAGGAGGCTGAGGCAGGAGAATCTCTTGAACCTGGGAAGTGGAGGTTGCAGTGAACTGAGATTGCACCACTGTACTCCAGCCTGGGCAACAGAGCAAGGCTCTGTCTCAAAAAAAAAAAAAAAAAAAAAAAAAAAAAAAAAAAAAAAAAAAAAAAAAAAAAAGTTAAATAAATAAAAATAGATAAAAATAATTTTAAAAATTATCCAGATGTGGTAGCAAACACCTGTGGTCCTACCTGTGGGAGGCTGGGGTGGGAGAATCTCTTGATCCCGGGTGGTTGAGGCTGCAGTGAGCCATGATTATACCACTGCACTCGAGCCTGGATGACAGAGCAGGAGCCTGTCTGTCTCAAGAAAAGAAAAATGTCATCTGTGACACAGCTGGATAGAAGCCCTAACCAAGCCGGGCATGGTGGCTCACACCTGTTATTCCAGCACATTGGGAGACTGAGGCAGGTGGATCACCTAAGATCAGGAGTTCCAGACCAGCCTTGCCAACGTGTTGAAACCCTGTCTCTACTAAAACTACAAAAATTAGCCAGGTGTAGTGACACACACCTGTAATCCCAGCTACTTGGGAGGCGGAGAATTGCTTCAACCTGAGAGGCGGAGGTTGCAGTGAGCCAAGATCATGCCACTGCACTCTCCGAAAAAACAAAAAGCCCTAGCCAAAAGTGAATGGGTTTTCGTTCTGCCTCAGTCCTAGGAAAACCATTATGAAATGCAGTTGTGATGCTTAAGAATCTTTGTTTCCTTTTTTTCTGATTAGTCTCAGTGTTACATTTTTTAGCAGAGTAATTATCAAATATTGATTCTGATAAACATTTAATAGAAAGTGCTACCCGGGTGCAGTGGCTCATGCCTGTAATGCCAGCACTTTGGGAGGCCGAGGTGGGCAAATCACGAGGTCAAGAGATCGAGACCATCCTGGCCAACCAACATAGTGAAACCCCATCTCTACTAAATATACAAAAATTTGGGCAGAGTGTTGCATGCCTGTAGTCCCAACTACTCGGGAGGCTGAGGCAGGAGAATTGCTTGAACCCGGGAAGCAGAGGTTGCAGTGAGCCAAGATCGTGCCACTGCACTCCGGCCCGGTCAACAGAGCAAGACTCCATCTCAAAAAGAAAAAAGAGAAAGTGCTAAGTTAAGCTAGGCATGGTGTCTCACACCTGTAATCCCAGCAATTTGGGAGGCTGAGGCAGGCAGATCCCTTGAGGCCAGGAGTTGGAGACCAGCCTGGCCAACATGGTGAAACCCCATCTCTACTAAAAATACAAAAATTAGCCAGGTGTGGTGGCACACTCCTGTAATACCAGCTACTTGGGAGGCTGAGACACAAGAATCACTTGAACCCAGGAGGCAGAGTGACAGAAAGTACAAGGTTAGATCAGCTTTGAGGAAGATATATACGAAGTTAATCTGCTGATTTTCTATCTTTATAATGTACCATCCTCTGATTTATGCATTTATAATTAGATACTGTATACCTATTAAGATGACTAACATAAAAAAGTAGAGCTAGCACTTACCTACTTTTTATGTCAGTCATCTTAATAGGCGCAAAGCATCATGAACGTTTGTACATTGCCGATGGGGATACAAAATGGTACAGTCACTTTGGAAACAGTGGCGGTTTCTTATAAAGTTAAACATACATTTGCTATATGACCTAGCAGCCCTACTCCCAGGTATTAAATTATATTCACACAAAAATCTGTAAACAAAGGGGACAGAGTTTCGATTTTACTAGATGAAAAGAATTCTGGGGATGGATGGTGGTACAACCTTGTGAATGTAGTTAATGCTACTGAAGTGTACACTTAAAATGGTTAAGATGTAAACTTTATGGTATGTGTGTTTTACCTTAACTTTTAAATACTTTTTTTTTTTTAATTTGCAAATGAATAAAAAACTGGAAACAACCTAGATGTCCTTCAGTGGGTGAATGGGTGAACCTACTACAGTATACCTATTCAGCAGAATAACTACTAAGTGTTAAAAAGAAATGCACAGCTGGGCGTGGAGTCTCACACCTTTAATCCTGGCACTTTGGGAGGCTGAGGTTGGCAGATCTCTTGAGCCCAGGGGTTCGAGACCAGCCTGGACAACATGGTGAAACCCCCTCTCTACAAAAAATACAAAAATTGGCCCTTTATGGTGGCGTGCACCCATAGTCCCAGCTACTCTGGAGGCTGAGGTGGGAGGATCCCTTGAGCCCGGGAGGTAGAGGCTGCAGTACTCTGACGTAGGCAACAAAGCAAGACCCTGTCTCAAAAAAGAAAAAAAAGCACTGTTGATACATGCAACAACTGGATGAATCTGAGGCTTTATGCTGAGTGAAAGAAGCCAATGTCTTTGTTTTTTTTTTTTTTTTTGAGACGGAGTCTCGCTCTGTCGCCCAGGCTGTAGTGCAGTGGCCGGATCTCAGCTCACTGCAAGCTCCGCCTCCCCGGTTTACGGCATTCTCCTGCCTCGGCCTCCCGAGTAGCTGGGACTACAGGCGCCCGCCACCTCGCCCGGCTAGTTTTTTGTGTTTTTTTGGTAGAGACGGGGTTTCACCGCGTTAGTCAGGATGGTCTCGATCTCCTGACCTCGTGATCCGCCCGTCTCAGCCTCCCAAAGTGCTGGGATTACAGGCTTGAGCCGCCGCGCCCGGCCGAAAGAAGCCAATTTCAAATGGTTGCATACTCTATGGTTCCATTTATGTGACATTCTTGAAAAGATAAAAAATTATAGTGAACAGAGACTAGGGGTTGAGTGGGAGGGTCTGACTTCAGAGGAGGTAGCACAAGAAACATCTAAGCATAACAGTGATGGGACTATTCAGTATCCTAATTGTGGCAGTGGTTACACAAATCTGCATATGTGCTTAGAACTTACAGAACTATATACACACCAGTATATAGCCAGTTTTATTGTGTAGTCATTTAAGGAATAAGATTTTAAGAATAATTAGGACTTCTAATTAAACATTATGGAATAAACATGTCTGCTGCCTCCCAAAAATCTCACTAGAATGACAGAAATGGAATAAAAATGGTAATATACACACCAAAAACTTAAAAAAAAAAAAATGCAATGAACAAGAGAAGAAATAGTTTTGGAAGACAGAAAGTAAGGAGATAAATTGATGAGTGACTTAGAGCAGAGGAAAATTGAATTCTAAGCCTCCAGAGGGACAGGATTGTCAGGAGGCAACTCTTTTTTGTTGTTGTTTTTTTGAGATGGAGTCTCGCTCTGTCGCCCAGGCTGGAGTGCAGTGGTGCGATCTTGGCTCACTGTAACATCCGCCTCCCAAGTGCAAGCGATTCTTCTGCCTCAGCCTCCCAAGTATGGAACTACAGGCATGCCACTATGCCTGGCTGATTTTTTTATTTTTTTAGTAGAGACAGGGTGTCACCATATTGGCCAGGCTGGTCTCGAACTCCTGACATCATGGTCCGCCTGGCCTGAGGCTACTCATTGTATATCCTAGAATCTGAAAAGCTCAAGAATTGGTATACCATGTTACCCTTAATAGCAGGGATGAGGGTTGGACTAAGGGCAACAGAATTACTTTAAAGTCATTTTAAAGAGTAATTGGACCATTCATGTCCCCCTTTTTACCCAGCAAAAGACAGCTTGGGAGAGAGGCTTTACAATTTGGGAAACCAGGTAAAACTGAGGATGCCACACAGCTGGTAACTGGGTGTAAATCCTTCAGGAAGGAGACTGAAGGTTCCTGTGTGGTAGTAAATTGATCTGCTCAAGAGAAGAAGCCTGTAGATACTAACTTTGAGGGGTCCTCCAGTGGAAATGGACTCCACCTCTAATCACCTTAAAATGAAAATGATACGACAGCTTCTCCTTACCCTTTAGATCCTACACAATTTGTCCCTCCTTGCTTCATCTCCTGTCGTTGTTCCTCTCACTCTGCCTCAGCCTTATTAACCTCCTTGCTGAGCCTAGAACCCTCCAGGCACATTCCAGTCTTAGGGCGTTTCTGTTTCCTTTTCCATGTGCCTGGAATTCTCTTCCCCTGATAATCCCAAAAGATTCTTGCTCTCGCTTCCTTTACGTGTTTGTACCTTACCAGAGACCTTCCCTGGATAATTGATCTAAAATTGCAAACCCCTCTCCTGCACATGTATCCTGTCTCCCCTCGCTGTTTTATTTTGCTTCTTTGGATCTGACATAATTTTACTTAGGTTGCTCCTTCCCCCGACCACAATGTAAGTACCGTGAGAGCAGAATTTTTGCCTCTTTGTTCGCTGCTGTATTCCCAGCACCTAGGAGAGCACTCAGTAAGTACTTGAAACCTTGCCTTAAGTGATAATTGATGTAAGTGTTCATTCAGTTAAAACAGGACATCTTAAAAAGTATATTGTAGCGGCCAGGCGCAGTGGCTCACGCCTGTGATCCCAGCACTTTGGGAAGCCGAGGCAGGCAGATCACGAGGTCAGAAGATCGAGACTATCCTGGCCAACATAGTGAAACCCCCGTCTCTACTAAAAATATGAAAATTAGCTGGGTGTGGGGGTGCGTACCTGTAATCCCAGCTACTCAGGAGGCTGAGGCAGGAGAATCGCTTGAACCTGGGAGGCAGAGGTTGCAGTGAGCCAAGATTGCACCACTGTACTCCAGCCTGGTGACAGAGCAAGACTCCATCTCAAATATATGTATATATATTATAGTGTATTTATACTTATAACACTTTGATTTCTTCTGTTGTATATCTGATTCATTACAATTTTAGTGATTATGATTTGGAGCTTTAAATGTTCTTTCTTGACCAGGACATGTGTGTACATTTTTACCAAACCATTTAGAGATTTAAAAGGAAAAAAAAAAAAAAAAATTTAGCCATCCTCTTTTCCTTCCCCACTAACATGCTCACAGTTTAATAAATTGAGTGCTAGAATTAAAGCCGTTTTCTTCAAACTTGCTTGCAATTAACAGCAAATATTTTGCAGATCTGAATTATTGAGAGTTCAGTGATTAAGATAAATCATGGCTACAAATAAGGAGAGTCCAAAATTCAAGAGGCCCAGTAGCAAGTATTTATTGAGCCTCTACTGTATGCCTGATAATGTGCAACTGAAACTATGCAAGAGATTGAGGAGGGGGCAGGAAATAAGATAGAGACATGGTCTTTGCCCTAATAAGGGAGCTAGAAATTAAATGCTTGATACACAGTTTTGAAGAATACAATGAAAAAGAATTTAGTGAGTGGTACATAAGGAGGAACCTAATCTAGGCTAGATGAATCTAGGAACGCCTCACACTAGATAGTAAGCTCCACAAGGTAAGTGAGGATTCTGTTCACTGAGGTTTTCCCAGGGCCAAAAACATTGACTAAAACTCATTATATATTTGTTGGATGAGTCAATGAATGAATTAGATGGCATTTAATCTGAGCCCTAAAAGGGTGAAAATTAGCCTGATGACCAAAGAAGAAAGGATGTTTCTGAGTGGTATAGGCTGAGGAAACAGTATGTCCAAAGGACCTGATGCATCTGAAGAACTGAAAGTTAAGGCCAATTGTGGCTGCATAAGAACAGTTCACAATATAAACTATTTCCTCTCTGCTTCCTACCACCTTCTCTCTTAGTACTAATTTTTTTTTGGGTAGGGGGGCAGCGGGGATGGAATTTCGCTCTTGTTGACCAGGCTGGAGTGCAGTGGCGCAGTCTCGGCTCACTACAACCTCCGCCTCCTGGGTCCAAGCAATTCTCCTGCCTCAGCCTCCCCCAAGTAGCTGGGATTACAGGCATGTGCCACCACGCCCAGCTAATTTTTGTATTTTTAGTAGAGATGGGGTTTCACCATGTTGGCCAGGCTGGTCTGGAGCTCCTGACCTCAAGTGATCCACCTGCCTCGGCCTCCCAAAGTGCTGGGATTACAGGCGTGAGCCACCACGCCTGGCCAGTACTAATATTTTTGAAAGGGGAGATATATTACCCCAAAACTTACTGGCTTCAAATTACCTCAAAACTTATTGGCTTCAAAATAACAATGAAACTGTGTTGTTTTATAGTTTCTGTGGGTCAGGAATTCAGGAGTGGCTTAGCTGAGTAGTTTGGGCTCAAGGTTCCCTCATGAAGTTGCAGTCAGAATATTGGCTGGCGCTATAGTCGTCTAAAAGCATGGTTAAGGATAGAGATTCACTTCCAAGGTGGCTTACTCATCTGACTGTTGGCAGGGACCTCAGTATAGCACCATGAGTACTTCTCTTCATATAGGGATGTTTGAATATCCTCATAAAATGACAACTGGTTCCCCCAGAGTGAGTGATCCAGAAGAAGGGCTGAAGCCATAGAGGTTTTTGTTTGTTTGTTTTTGTCTTGCTCTGTCACCCAGGCTGGAGTGCAGTGGTGCGATCTCGGCTCACTGCAAGCTCTGCCTCCCGGGTTCACGCCATTGTCCCACCTCAGCCTCCCCAGCAGCTGGCACAACAGGCGCAGACTACCATGTCTGGCTAACTTTTTTTTGTATTTTTAGTAGAGACAGGGTTTCACTGTGTTAGCCAGGATGGTCTCGATCTCCTGACCTTGTGATCCGCCCGCCTCCACCTCCCAAAGTGCTGGGATTACAGGAGTGAGCCACCATGCCCAGCCATAGAGGTTTTTTTTTATGATTTAGTCTCAGAAGTCATACGTTCCTTATATTCACAATGTCCTTATTACACACGGGCATGAATACCAGGAGGCAGTGCTCACTGGTGGCCATCTTGTAAACTACCTCAGAAAATTTTGAGTGTCACTTAGTACCATATTTTTAAAAGGAGAGATAAATTGTAATGTTTGACTTCTGTTCATGAATACAGAAAAAGGAAATTTTCTGATTATCACAGATAATTCCATGTCAAACTTTTAATGGTCCTACAACATTATTTTAGTAATTCTAGTTTCTCTTTATTTTACTTTTGAAGATGATAGTATGATCCTATCATGTTATTTGAAGTGCTGGGAAAGATTTCTGGTGATTCTTACGTATTTCTTTTTCACCTGGAACTAATAACTTCAAATTGTAAATGTCCAGGAAGCAGTGGGCAATCCATTGAATTGCACGAGTTTCAAACTCCTGGACCATGTTAGCTTTATGTGCTAATATATTAGCCAGTGTGTCCCTTCATACTAATAAAAGATTATGTTGTTTTTAGAATACAGAATACAAAGGGGAATATTGGGCAGAACATCCTACGATAAAAATTTTTTGGGAAGTATTTCACGAATTACCATTGGAAAAGAAGAAGCAGTTTCTGTGTAAGTATTTCTAATTAGTTGTATACTTTATGAGACTGGAATCTAATTATAGTATTATTCCAAAGTCCTGTTTTTAATCTTCAAGTAATTTTTTTGAAAAAGTACTGATCTGCACTCTTCAGTACATGTATTTTCTTATTTCAAAGGCTAAATTCAGTTTGCCTCCAAAATAGCATTGATTCATTCTATGAAGTAAAACAGAAGCTAACTTGGAAATGAAAGCAAACTATAGCTATGTTACAGTTACAATAAACTAGTTACAATAAACTAGGATTGTAGAATTCCTTTTAGATTTCTAAAAAGATCTCTGGAGTATAGTCATCCTTTGGCATACACTGGGGGATTGGTTCCAAGACCTCCCTGCCAAGGATACCCAAATCCAATATACGCTCAAGTTTCTTATATAAATTGGCATCGTATTTGCATATAACCTATGCACATCCTTATACTTTCAGTCATCTCTAGATTACAGTCATGTGCCACATAATGACTTTTCAGTGAACGAGACCCCACATATATGATAGTGGTCCCTTAAGATTATAATACCTTATAATAACCTACTGTACCTTTTCTGTGTTTAGATACACAGATACCTACTGTTATGTTACAGTTACCTACAGAAATCAGTACAGTACCATGCTGTACAGGTTTGTAGCCTGGGAGCAGTAGGACTGTATCACGTAACCTAGGTGTGTAGTAGACTGTACTGTCTAGGTTGTATAAATATATGATGTTTACACAATGAAATCGCCTGATGATGCATTTCCCAGAACATATCCTCATCATTGACACGTGAATATACCTGTATTAATACCTCATACAAAGTAAATGCTATGTAAATAGTTGTTATACTGTATTGTTGAGGGACCAGTGTGAAGAAAAAAAGTTGACATACTCAGTACAGTCACAAGCAGCCATTTTTTGAAAATATTTTCCATTTGCAGTTGGTTGAATCCATGGATACACAATTCACAGATATGAAGGGCGAACTGTATTGCTCTTTTCTTTTTGGTCTTCATTTTCTTTTTGCTTCAAGACTAAAACTTTGGCAATTTCTATATAAAATAAAGCTTTTTCAGGCTTTAGTTTCTCATTTATAACTGATGCCTGAGTATCTTTCTTCTGTTAAAGTCTGTATTCTAATTGAAATTTGACTTATTTTTAAAGTTGTCAGAATTTATGTGTCCAAATCAGTGACACTTCCTTTGATACTCCTGCTGTTGCCAAGAATGTTTTAGCAATCTCCCCGAGAATCTTGGTCAAATTCTTCTGTATGTCATAAGGATGAGAAATCATTACTCTTTAAGAGTGTTTTGAGCCTGGGCAACATGGCAAAACCTCATCTCTACAAAAATTAGCCCTGGGCTTGGTGACACGCGCCTATGCTCCCAGCTACTCCAGAAGCCGAGGTGAGAGGATTGCTCGAGCCCAGGCGGTCGAGGCTGCACTGCAGCCTAGGCAACCGAGCAAGGCTCGCCTCAAAAAAAAAAAAGAATGATTTGAATTTTGGCTGCCCATTATAAATTTCTGATTAAAAAAAAAAAACAAAACCCAGAAATGAAGCAAATAGAAAAAGAAATCATAATCAAAACTGCATTTTGTATTTGGTTTGTCAACTAGTTCTAAATGGCTTTTTCCAAAAAAGGGCTCTCAAAATGTTTTGGCAATGACAATAGTTACTTATCAAACATTTATTAAGCACTTCCTTTGTGCCAGTATTAAGATTATACTTTTAAAGAAAAAGTATTGTGTGAATGAGCAATTAGAATGTGTCTCAAAAAACCTGTCTTCCACAAATTAGGGAGTAAGTTAACACATTAGAGCAGATGTTAATGTGAAGCTCTGCTGTAGTGACTGTACAAAATATGACTTGCTACTTTGTGTTTTGAAGTGGTTGACTGAATGGTTTCTTTCTTGGCAGTATTTTTGACAGGTAGTGATCGCATTCCTATTCTTGGTATGAAGAGTCTGAAACTAGTCATCCAGTCAACAGGAGGTGGTGAGGAATATCTCCCAGTTTCCCATACTTGTTTTAATCTTCTGGATCTTCCAAAATATACAGATAAAGAAACTCTACGCTCTAAACTGATCCAAGCTATTGATCACAATGAAGGCTTCAGTTTAATATAACTTTGGAGTTCAACTATTCAGTTTAGTGCAAAAGCATTAAACTATTTGTGTTTTTCTTGTGGTGATGAATTCAGCAAGGTGACAGAGGTACTATTATAATTCTTACTTGCAGAATGTTCAATCTACGAGTGTTCATGGAAGTCAAAACATTAAAGGAAAATGAACAAACTGTTAATATTATTGTACAGAACCATGGATTTTTTTGACCATCTTCCAATAAACATAACAAGTATTGTGAATACATTAAAGTTCTACTAACATGAGTTTTAAGAGTTTGCATATTTCAGAAATGATCTGGTGTGAGTGCATGGAAATATTGCTTAATTTTTCTTCAATCATTGAGTGAAAAACCTTTAACTTTGGCCTGCAATAGTCATTTCATTATTTTTTCATTTTGTAAATAATGTTAAGTTTTGTAATAAAATAGTTATGTTCTGATACCAGTACAGTTTCTATGGTTGTAATTGAACTTGAGCAGACTTTTAGAGGTTAAAAATTATGATTTAAATCTTACTCTGAAACTCTATAAAAAGAAAAAAAAGGTAGCATGGTGGAAACACGATCTTTTCTTTTTTGCTAGCGTAAGTGTCTTTGTGCAAACCTAAATCACAAATAGGGAATATACTACATAGCCTGCAGTTCTTTTCTCTTTTGTGAATCCTGACATGACATGCTGATAGATGGGGGATTGTTGATCAGAGAACTTATTAATATTTAGTACTGGAAGAACTGTCTCCACAGTTGCCAGTAATAGAAAGAAACATTGGCTACTATGAGCACCAATCACTGGGTTATAGCTTTCAAAAGTATTGATGCTGCAGGGCTTTAGAGCTATTTCCTTGAATTTAAGCAGCAAATCTTAACGGTTTTATGGTGCTGATGCTTAGTTATCTCATGCCATTAAATTGTAAAAGTGAGTTGACGCAATACCTGTGACTTTCTGCTAGAATGCAAATATTTATTTTTTAAATTTATTTTAAAATGCCGTGAAAACTGTTTAATAAAGATTTATTGTTTTAATATTTAAACTTTCAGTGGTTCTCATATAAGAGTCAAAATTTTTCAAAAAGAGGGATGGCTCAGGGAAGGTCTCTTAAATTTCAGATTGCTTGTTTCTATTCCTATACGAATTTATAGAGGTCTGCAGTCTCTTAACCTGTAATTCTAAAATCTAAAAAACCTGAAAATATTGTCATCTCTCACTTTGCAGAAAAACCTGATCTGAATTGTTGAAGCTATTTATGGTATTCACTAAATAAGACTATGACCCCTGTTGGGTGCTTTAAAAAATTCTTTAAAATTCGTAATTCCAAAATGCAAATAAGCCCAAGGGGTTGGATGAGGGGTTGTGGACTTGTACTTTTCAGTAGGTCAACTTAAGAAACTATTGGCGAACCATAGAACTCTTCTATAGATAGAAGCACTAAAACAATGTTCTCACCTAAGGTACTTTTCCTCAAAGTAGTGGCATTCTTCCCCATGAGAATGTCTCCACGTACCTGATATTATACCATATTCCCTGTTCGTCCACTCCTTGAGGTAGTAATTATTTGAATCAAAAACATGTCAGATGCTGTTTCTCAATAGTAGTAACCTTTGTATATTATGAAGCCGATCTGTGAAATAGCAGGCACTTTGGATTGATAGTTCCATGAACAAATATTATAACAAGAGAATAGCATCTCATCCGGGAGCACATTGTACAAAGCTTAATTTGGGGACACTTCCTCCCTGTTACTCTAGACTATGATACAATGTATTAACAGCAAGGAGATTCATGGTGGAAAGTTAAAATACCATTGAAGATTTCTGAAATTGCCATTTACTTTTAAAAAACAAGAAAAGTCCCGAGCTTTGTAGATAAGAGCAGCAAAGGTGCAGATCATTTGCTAAATTGTAGGGACTTTGATTATTGAGTTGGCTAAGTACTGAAGTATTTGGCCTCCACACATCTATTTGTAAGGTACAAATATATAGTGTGTTTGTAGCTCTCCTGTCTTAACTTAGTCATTCAAGCTAGTAGCCATTGTTCAGGATGATTAAGACAGCAGAACCAAGACATTCCTTTCAATTAAAAGGAAATAAAAACCAGAATGCAGGCTGGGCGTGGTGGCTCACACCTGTAATCCCAGCACTTGTTAGACTGAGGTGGGCAGATGGCTTGAGTCTAGGAGTTCGAGACCAGCCTGGCTAACACGGTGAAACCCCGTCTCTACTAAAAATACAAAAAATTAGCCGGGCATGGTGGCGGGATTTCACCATGTTGGCCGGGCTGGTCTCAAACTCCTAACCTCCGGTGATCCGCCCGCCTAGGCCTCCCAGAGTGCTGGGATTTCAGGTGTGAGCCGCAGCACCTGACCAAGTTTCATATACATTTTAAGGGGGACACTGCTGACCTCTTCAAGAGTACTTTCTCCCTCAAAATACGTAGGTTCTCAGGTCAGCCTCAAAAAGTTGATACCAAATGTCATCTGTAGTCTTTGGACTTAAAAGACCTGGCATCCAAGAACAGATTTTCAGTTAACCCAGCCTTTGCATCACATGGATTTTCACTATCCACCACTTCCTGTTCTCTCTCGAATCCCAAACTTCTGGTCCTTTATCATAGGACATTGTCACATCCTTCTTAGGCCCTGCCCTGCCTTTTCCCCACGTTTTACTTGCTCAGGCCTCTAGCCTAAAATGGTTGAAATAGTTCTGAAATGCTTGGTGGTGATGCATCGCCTGCTACGATCAGCACCATCAGTGTTTGCAAGTACTGGTCTGGTGAGACTAATGTAATAAACTGAAGAAATGTAGTATGAGAAAGCAAGCATCTAATACTATAGCATTCGAAGCTGTACAAATTCTGCAAGATTTAAAAATTATATACCTTAAACAATGTAAGTTAACAGAAAAAAGTCAAATGACAGTTTTAATAGACTTTAAAACAGTGTACAAGTAAAAAAACACTGGTTTTGTATTTCAAAAGTTGAAGATATCCAGTCATTGAACAGTCTACAAAACATATGCCAGTAGATTACATAAAAGACTATGTACAATATAAAAAGAGCTGAAAACAGTCTTCACTGTAAAAATAATTTAAAACAAACTTTTCAATTTAAAATATTATCTATAGCACAAACACATCATGCAAATGGAAAACTAAATATACCGCATTCTTTAGTGTAGCCAAATAAATTCAGATTCAGACATCTTTTAAGTAGGGAAATGGCCATTCAAATACGATTTTTTTTCTCTGGCAGTAATGGTCCTAGCTGGGTATTTTATGCATAAAGAACAGCTATATTTCAAACCCTTTTTATTGTAATAAATACTAAAGCAACAGAGGAATACTTTATTAATTTGGGAGTAATGTTCAAAAATGGTCTGAAAAATAAATGCTTACGGTGCAATTTCATAAAGTATGAACTTCTTGAAAGACGAGAAGCTTTTGCAGCTGAGAAAGTTGATCTCTAGTTTTAAGGCAGGCTAAGCTTTTAAATAAAGATAAATTATAAGAACTAGTTTCATTCATTAACTATTCTGCTATTACAAGTTACATCATGTTCATCTCCATAATACTAGGCTAGCAGTTTGGTATTTAACACCAAATCCTCCCAATGGAAGGAGACATGTACTTTCTGGCTGAGTTATAATTAACATCTTATTACTTTGGAACTGTAATCAGGGGCCTGTTGCTCTCCTCATTAATGGAAAACAGCAGTCCAAAATATTACACTCTCCCCAGTAGAAGTACCATTATTATAGATTCGGAAAGGCTTTGCATATTCACATTTTGGCAGTTTAATACTTGTGGAAAAGATCAATGCAAGCTCTACCACAGTGATAGGTATTTAAACAACAATGGCAAATATTTCAAAACTAAGGGGATCCAGGCAGGCACTATTGTTTCTAAAGCAACTGAAACATTTCCAAAGCATTTATTTGTTTTTCAGGTTAGTTTTATGAGCCAATATAGACATTACTACATGTCCACAGGAAGTACAAAAGCCATCTTCATTTGAACATAAATACAATAATCCTGAAATTCTTAGCACCAAGTATTACTTTTAAAAGTAAAGACAACCGAGTGCCCTCCCACCTATTGTCGACTTCCTTCTACTCACATTGCATGTCATTTGAGATTTTAAAAAGTTAGCTGCCACAAGTTTTGGAAAATGCCAGTGTTTAAAAATAAGTAATTGTGTTAAAGAATCAAAAGTTTAGAGTTAACAGATTTTGAGTACTTCAAACCATTCAATGTTACAAAGAAAAGTGAAAATACCATTCTTTGGTCTAGATAAGCTGTTCCCTTTACATTAATTTAACATTCCGATGGCTTTTTGAAAACTTTAAAAATGTTGAAACTCACTAGACAAAAACAAAAATTATATATACATATGAATTTATCATACAAATGAATCTTTAAAAGAAAGTTAGTCTTGACCAACAGCTGATTAAAGATACTTAGTACCTTTTTTTTAAAAAAAAAAGTTAGTGTTGAATTTGTACAAGTACAGAAATAATGAAGTTAAAAATTATCCATGAAAAACAATCTATTTTACCAATCTATAAATATTACCTTTCTGGTTTCCTTGCTCTATAGAGTTCACAAGTAAACATTCATTTTGACATGCTAAAGTTCCTAATGCTGGTGGAACAATTCCTGTACCTGCACAATTATTACACTATGATTTGTTTGATGGATAGTTCATGTCTGTTACTTCCTGTTTCATAGATATAGCTTCATTAATTGCCTCTTGATCATCTTCATCAGTCCCAAATCCAGCTCCTCCAGCTCTCTCTGGAATATCAGGCTCATCTTCTAAGCCATTGTAGAATTCTTCAATTTCACTTTCATCCTCCATGGGTTCTTCTAAACTTGGACTCTGGCATGTCCCACTATCGCTGTTACTGCCACAAGAACTAGAGGATAAGACGTCATCTTCAGAGTCTGAATATACCTCAGCGCCATGGAAAATGTAACGATTTGGTGGCAAAAACAGATACTGATTACCTGAAATATAATGATGAAAACGTTACTTTCAGTTTTCTAAGTCTGAGCAGTCTGGAATGAAGTGTGGGTACCGGCTCTGCCTTTTGTAAGTGTCCTTATGAAAGACTACCATTAGTGTTTAAAAACAACTGGGAGGCCATGATGTGCCTGCAGTTCCAGCTACTCAGGAGGATGAGGCGGGTGGACTGCTTGAGCCCAGGAGTTCAAGGGCCAGCCTAGGCAACACAGTGATGGCCTGTCTCTTAAAAATTAAATAAATACAAGCAATACACTTAGTCCTGGGTTCAAATCTTAGTTCTGCCATTTATTATATTTTTGTAAATTTGTAAGTATACCTCTGTGCCTCAATTTCCTCATCTAGAGAATGAAATAAATTTTCACAACCCTATGAAGGAGGGAAGTGCGAAAAATGTAGAGAACCATATTCAATAAAGGTTATTTCACCAATTATTTTAAAAAGATTTGATGAAAATGAAGTATCCAGCCCAGCCTACATTAGATACCCAATTTGTGTTCATTAAGCAACTTCTCTAAAGCACATAGGCTTTTAAAGCATCTTCATTAACTATTTTCATTTAACTTTTTTCTGATTATAAACCTAAAATATTGTCAATAATGTAATCACCACAAATTCATAGTGTAGTCTGTAGACACTGAATCTACAGTATCACCTGTGAATCTAAATTTAGATTCACTCGAGAAGATCTCAGGCCCCATGAGCCACCTACTGATTCAGAATGTGTGTGTATATACAGATACAGTCTAAGATGCTTTTGAAGTCCTCTAAGATGTAATCTTAATCCATGAATACCAATAAAGTTCTTTCTAGAGCACACCAAATGAATCCTAGCTTGGCCATTTGGGGTTTAAGTGAAACAGTAGGATCCCTAAAAACTGATGGAAAAGTTTTCTACCCTTGAATTCACAATATGTCCCCTAACTTAACATCTCTTTTCACATATAATAAATGTAATATTTATTGTACCGTATCCCAGACTAATTCACAAAAGCCTTGTTACCACATTGGTA